TTCAATCACCAGCACCACAAAAAAATAAACAAATAAAATAAAGGTATTGTGTGCATCTCCAACTAAAAAATATATTTAAAAAAAAAAGTATTTCCATGCCAGGTGTATGGTACATGCCTGTAATCCCAGCAGCTCAGATGCTAAAACAGGAGGATTGCAAGTTCAAAGCCAGCCTCAACAACTTAGTGAGGCACTAGGCAACTCAGTAGAGACCCTGTCTCTAAATAAAATACAAAATAGGGCTGGGGATGTGGCTCAGTGTTCGAGTGCCCCTGAGTTCAATCCTGGTACCAAAAAGAAGAGAAATGCTTCCAGGAACCAGTACTATGCTCAAGCCTCCTTCAAGTGACAAGTTCCAGACTCAGAAAGCAAATAGTTGCTCACACTCAGAAAACCAATCCTACTTCAATACCCCACTGGGTAGAACAAAATGAGGTTTTTCAACAGAGTGGACAACAGAAGACAGAAGACTTGGATTCTGGTCCTAGTTATGGAGCAACCAACTGGACAACTTTGAATAAACTATCTAACCCTTCTGTAGTTTTCAGTTTCCTGAACTGCCAAGCACAGAAAATGATACCTGCCCTAACTACCTTATATAATGTCCTACAAATCAAATGAGAATTCGAAAGTATACTTAATACTATTATCCTCAGGTAAGGTATTATTTATAGAAATATTATGGCAAAATAGATTTATAATGAGAGCTAGAGGAAATGTTTGGAAAAACTTGTTCCTTCTTTTCAATTACTGGGAACTAGGCCAGGCCACAGGGTCAACTGGACACATAGGGTAATAACACTTTTGCATCACTCATATTCCCTCACTAGCCCACTCCATTCCTACTTGCTGGAAGACTAACAGCCTGCAACACCATCAGCCTATTGTCAGACTGGAAAACCATTGTATAGGAAGGAATAAGACTTGCATAGATCATTCTCCAAAAAATCGAGACCTCAGTAGTAGCCTCATTTGCTGTCAGATGAAATGTTTCTTAATGGGGGAAGATATTTGTCAATCCCTCAGGCAAAAAAAGCTTTCACCCGTCTTGGCTTCTAGCTTCTTCTTCAACCCCCAGCTCCCCACTCCTCAATATCCCTGCGTCCTAAATTGGGGCAGGGTTTATGGTGTGTGAAGAGGTTGCGTGAAGCGTGCATGAAGACCAGGCTGCAAACCAAGGGCAAAGATGTAAGGAATGTGAGATTCCTTCGCGGAAGACTGGGAGAGGAAAAGGAGCTGGGAAGGAATGAAAGACACAAGGCTGCCAAAGACAAGGCATGGGAGAGGAGCCAAGCTATTGCGCTTTGAGGGCGGAGGTTCAAGTTCCGCCGCCCCTGCTGAGGCTGGCCCCCCGAACGTTCCCTTCCTTCCCTCCAAGCCTGTCAATCATTGCCCATTTAAACACCACGCTGTTCTCCCCGGGTCCGCTCCTCCCAGTCCTCCGGCTGGCTCAGACCCCCTCCCTCACATAAGACTCCCCTACTCCAGGGCACCTCCCCCAGCAACACAACCTCCAGAGCCCCCTTCTCACCTCCCTACTCCTTCCCAAGGCTGCCCTCTTCTTTCATTTTTCATCTTTACTTCACCCCTCCTCCGGAACCCCAGTATCTAGAACCAATACCCCTGGGACTTCGCCCCTTCCCCTCCCACACCCTGGTTTAGGTGAAAACTCGCGCAGGCGCAGTACGCACCACCCTGGACGCAGTCTGGGCTCTCCGTACCCGGGCCTGCCAGGAGTTGAGGCCGCAGCGGCCACACGATAGCCCCGGTGCCGGGTCCCAGCCTTTCCCGGGAGGGGAAGGGGAAGGGGAAGGAGAAGGAGGGGAAAGAAGGTTCCGACCACTCGTCGCTGTCTCAGAAGGATCCTTTACCCCGCCCACTGCTGCTACGCAACCTGGCGGAAGCCCGTCACCAAGCCCCGCCTCTTTGTTTAACTCGAGCGCGACTAGAAGCTGTGAGCAGCGAACGAGGAGCAACCGAGGCTAGCCTGGCGTCCCCTCTAGACCGGAAGTGCTCGTGGTCCCAACTGGACTCTATAGCCTTTTGGGAGGAACGACTCTAAGTTCTTCACGGTGTCAAAGTCCGGAGCGAGTCCGAAGTTGACTGCCCTAGAAGGCGACAGTTCGCCTTGGAGGGGCGCAGGTCTCTTGTATTCTAGAGCGGATGCGGAGTGACGCGACATCGTGGGGGGCGGCTGGCCTGCAGTGTGATCTGCCATCCTCCAGGCCCCTCTCAGTTTCCAGAACCGTGGTCAGCATCCCTGAGCCTCCTGAACCTGTGATTCATAATCATGGGAATGGATACTGCAGTTAACAAGGCGGCGGTGGAGTGGAGTGTCTCCCCACAAACCTTTGATCTAGGGATGCTCAACTGGTTGTCCTCCTCTCCCAGCCATACTCCTGCCCTATTCACGAAGGCTCAACAAACACTCCTAGAATACCCTGAAACACTAAGGAGAGAGAAGAGAGAGACGATGTCCCTCTTCCTATGGCGTAGTTAATTTCCTTAGTTTGCAGCACCATGGTTGGGAATGTGGGAGTTCCGAGGGAAGTTATAAGGGATTAATTTAACTAACCAAGGCATTACAATTACAGGACTTCTTAGGCTAATCTGGTATTAAATAGTATTTGTTATGGATATTCGCTAAGCAAATGGTAATGCACATAGTATATGTTTATGTAATTTGTTTATACACAATACTACAGAACTATCTTCCTTTCCTTGACTATCCCACAAGTCCCAAAAGGAACTAAAGGTTCTGGCCTCTCTTGTCCCCCCAGGAACTCTCTTCCAGTGAGATAAGGTAGTAGGAACAGGTGCCTTGCGAACTAATGAGAAGGATTAATGCAAATGTTGCTTTTTATGCCCAGATTCCATTTTCTTTCAAAGGGGGTTGAGGCTGCCTACTGTAAGTCCCTGGTGTGTACCCCAGGAGCCGAGCTGGCTAGTGCATTAAAGATGAAGACCCCGCCGGAATGGTAGCACACGCCTGTGATCATAGCAACTCAGGAGGGAAAGGCAGGAGGATCACAAGTGCAAGGCCAGTCTGGGCCACTTAGTAAGACCCTATCTCAAAATATAAAAACGTCTGGGGATGTAGTTGTGGTAGAGGGCTCCTGGGTTCAATCCTCAGTACAAAAAAAAAAAAAAAAGAGAGAGGAGAGAAGACGAGGAAGAAGAAGACGACCCAAATCAGGAATTAAGATGATGGTTAGAGCAGGGGAAAATCGAGGGAACTGGTATATTTATAAGTGCCTGCTGTGTCCTCGGCTTGGCTTTTTATATAAGTTCCGTTTTTTCATCTATAAAATGGAATTGCATATTTAAGAGTTATCGAGAAAAGTGAAGCAGTGAAGTCCCTCAAACTTTTGTCCACAGGATTCCAATGCCCTTGGTCCTTTTCTAAGGAAAAAATCCTAAGAGCCCATTAAATGCATTCTCCTAGCCAAGTAAAGGAAAATTGGGGCCTGAACCGCCCCCTGGTGGTTCACCTTGCCCACTGCTGAGCAAATCATCTCCAGGCTCCTTTAATTCCTGAAATCCTCCCGGGTCGCCGCGCGCGAATCTCGGAGCCTGATTGGCTGGACGGGGATTCGCAGCTAGGCGTGGGGCGCACCCCAGTGGTGGTGATTGGCCCGAGGAGGTCAGCCCGGGGAGGCTTCCGGAAATGTCCACACTCCCACGTTCCATCGGGCAGCATCCGGCGGCAGCTGGGCCTGTGGCTCCCCCTGCGGGCGGCTCGGCGGCGTGCACGGTCCGGCCTCCTGGCTGGGTGGGTAGTGGGCTGTGGGTGGGGGAGGGAACGGACCGATTCCCGCGTTGTCCAGATAAGGGTTCGGGAAGGTTTGGCTAGTAAGACTCCATTACCTGGCCTTGCACCGGGTTTCCTAAGCCTCCGTTGGCTCCCCTGCTTTGGGGTGTAAGACTGAAAGAGCATCCTGACCAGGGGCCTTCCAGCCCCTAAGCATTCTATTCAGACACCCTTCCCCAAGGTTCTTTTCTTGAAGTTCGAGGCTCCCGGGAAAGTTCATTTCTAACCTTCTACAAGAGTTAGAGGAATTAGGGCTGTTTGATCCCAGCTTTGTATGGTAGGTAGGCCTTTGAGAAGTGGAGCATGGGGGCAAAAGCTCCAACCGTGAGCCTTCGTCCCTTGTTCCCTGTTCCAGTGGGGTGCTGAGGCTCGGGCAGCATGACGACGGAGACCTTTGTCAAGGATATCAAGCCCGGGCTCAAGAATCTGAACCTTATCTTCATTGTGCTGGAGACAGGTGGCTATGCTGGAGTGGCGGGTTCGGGTTCACGAGGTGTGGGGTGTGGGAGGGAGGGGGAACTCATCGCCTCTGTTAACTTGCTCCTTGGACAGCAGGGTGCGCCCTAAGGCATGGCTCAGTCCCCATCTCAGATCCTAACACAGGGGGTTGCAGTAGGGTAGTGTAGATAGAACTCTTACCAGAGCTATGCACCCAGTGTCACGCGGGCCTCTTTCCACTCAGCCCTCTCCATGGTGCTGGCTTCTCCACTACCAACACCCCCCCCCTCCCGGCACCAGGGATTTGGGCTTTGCTTTGTACACTTTTTATCTCCCCCCACCAATATCCAGATTTCGTCTCTCTGACCATTACTGCCCCATTTGTTTAAGTATCTTACCACCCTCATTTATCTGTACCCTTCAGGCCGGGTGACCAAAACAAAGGACGGCCACGAGGTTCGGACCTGCAAAGTGGCAGACAAAACAGGCAGCATCAATATTTCGGTCTGGGACGACGTGGGCAACCTGATCCAGCCTGGAGACATTATCAGGCTCACCAAAGGGTAAGGTAGTTGGTGATTCCTGGCTATTCCCAGGGCAATAATAGTCAAGACAGATAGGGTTAAAGATTCCTATAACTCTTATGAAGACTATGAATCCTGCTTTATTTACTTTTATTTTTTTTCTGCACAGATATGCTTCTGTGTTCAAAGGTTGTCTGACACTGTATACTGGCCGTGGGGGTGATTTACAGAAGATTGGAGAGTAAGTGCTGGTTGGGGGATTGGGATGAAGAAGCAACAGGCCAACAGGGGGCAGTTAAGGTTTCAATGGAAGCAGCATAGGGTCTGCAGTCCATGCCCAGTATCTGGACTTTTCTGAAGCCTCCATCAGTGACCCAAAAGATGGGTCCAAGGCTTTGGCTACTTTCCCTCTGCAGATTCTGTATGGTCTATTCTGAGGTTCCTAACTTCAGTGAGCCGAACCCAGAGTACAGCACCCAGCAGGCACCCAACAAAGCGGTGAGTCCTCTGGCTTGATGCTAGTGAAGGGGAAAGGATTAGGTTAAAAAGCATGGTGGGGAGCAGGGTCTGAGTATGTAATCTGTGTCTTCAGGGGCAGAACGACAGCAGTCCTACAGCCCCCCAGGCTACCACTGGACCCCCTGCTGCCTCACCAGGTAAATCTATTCCTTTTCATCAGCTGGCCCTTCTAACTCCAGTACTCTCCCCAGCCTAGAAAGACACATTTCCCTCATCCCTGTTTTAAATAAATCTCTTTTCTCTTCAGTATCCCCTAACCCAATTTTTCTGTAACCTCCCCCCTTTTATGCCCCCTAGTACTGGGGATTGAATCAGAAATGCTCTACCACTGAGCTACATCCCCAGGCCTTTTTATTTTTTATTATCTTGAGACAGGGTCTTGCTGAGTTGCTCAGGCTGGCCTCAAACTTGTGATCCTCCTACCTCAACCTCCTGAGTCACTAGGATTACAGGTGTTGCCACCATGCCCAGCCTTGTAACCTCATTTTTCATGCCTTTTCCAAGTCCCTGTGGTGAAAAGATTTAGAAACCTGTTTCAGTCACTTGTAGAACTGGAGTACCCTTTTGCTACTACCACTCAAATCAAAAAAGAGAACAGTTTCTTCACATGTGGCAAGTGAATATTAGAGGCAAACAGTCTCACTTACAAGACCTTAAAATATTTTTGTAGATTCTTTGTAACAAATTGTAATGTATGTATATAATATATACAGTTAAATATAAATATATGTGATCATGTATCATTTGTGATAGGGATACATTCACACATCATTGTGTGAACATCCTAGAGTGGTCAATATTACTGTCTTTGCCTCCTCACCTTGTCCTACTGGAAGGTCTTCAGGAGAAATAACACACAGAGGGTATCATCTAATATGACAATGCCTTCTTGTAGACAATCTCCGGAAAGACCTGCCTGAGGCTGTTTCATGGTTAACTTTTTTTTTTTTTTTTTTTACGTAGAAGGAGTATACTCTAAAATAATGATAAAAAGAATAGTATACCTTGTCTCTAAATAAAATACAAAATAGGCCTGGGGATGTGGCTCAGTACTGCTGAGTTCAATCCCTGGTACCCCCCCCAAAAAAAAGAAGTATGGTATAATAAATACGTTAACCAGTAATGTAGTCATTTATTAATATTATCAAGTGTTATGTGCTATACATAATTGTATGTGCTCTACTGATAGCTCAGCAGATTTATTTATAACAACATTACAATAAACATGTTAGTGATGCATTATACTACATTATTATGGCTACAGTGTCATTAGGCCATGGATATATTTCAGCTTCATTATAATATTATGGGACAGTTGTCATAGATGTGGACCATTGCTGATTGAAATGTCATTATGAGATACATAACAGTATATATCTTATACTATATTGGTTCTGGCCCTGTGGAGAACCCTGAATAATACAACCATAAATTCTCAACAATTTTTGTTTGTTTGCAGTACTAGGAATTGAACCCAGGGCTCATCTACCACTGAGCTATATCCCCAGCCCTTTTTATTTTATTTTGAGACAGGGTCTTGCTAAGTTTCCCAGCCTGGAAAATATTTAATTCCTGCACAAAAATTAGCATTTGATTTTCCAACAGTAAATAGGACTGTTGAGGCTAGGGGGTAGCTTAGTGGCAAAGTCTTTGTGTTCAACCTCCAGCACTTAAAAAAGAAAAAGAAAGAAAGCAAATATGACTGTTATATATTTTTAGATGTCCAAGACTCTATCACATACAGAAATATTTTTAAGCTGGGCATGGTGGTACACACGAGTAATCCCAGCTACTTGAGAGGCTAAGGCAGGATCCCAAATTCAAGATCAGCCTGAGCAACTTAGTGAGACCCTGTCTCAAATAAAATTTTAAAAAGGAGTGGGTAGCTCAGTAGTAAAGTACTAACTTAGCATGTGCAAGGCCCCGGGTTTAATCCTAGTACCCAAAATATTTTTATGTGGTGCTGAACCCAGTGCCCCCATGTGCTAGTTGAGTGCTCTACCGCTGAGCCACAACCCCAGCCCACCTTTTTTATTTTTTTTATTTTGAGACAGGGTCTCACTAAATTGCTTACGGCTTCTCTAAATTGCTGAGGCTGGCCTTGAACTTGCAATCCTCCTGCCTTAGCCTCCCAAGTCACTGGGATTACAGGAGTTTACCACCATGCCTGGCTATATGTTTATTTTTTTTAATAAGGTACATCTAAGCCTGTTTGCCTCTAAAATTCATTTACCACATGTTTATTCACTTTGTCCTCTGCTATCAGATACAAAAAATTTAATTAAAAAACATTTGAAAGCTGAGTATGGTGACACATGCCTTTAATCCCAGGGACTCAGTAGACTAAGGCAGGAGGATTGCAAGTTGGAGGCCAGGCAACCTCAACAATTTATCAAGGCCCTAACCAACTTAGCCAGACCCTATCTCAAAAATAAAAAAAAAAAAAAAATAGGTTGGAGATGTGCTCAGTAGTTTAATGACCCTGGGTACAGTTCCTAGAACCAGTAATTAAGTAAGTAGGATGTAGCTGAGCGGTAAAACATTCCTGGGTTAAAATCCCAGTACTTGGCTTGGGAGGCTGAGGCAGGAAGATGGAAAGTTCAAAGCTAACCTTAGCAATTTAGTAAATTGTCTCAAATAAAATATTTTAAAAAGGCCTGGGGTGTGGCTTTATTATTAAGCACCCCTGGATTTAATCCCTGGTACCAAAAAAAATCTACCCACTCCCCAAAAAATAGTGTGACAGCCAGGTACAGTAGCACATACCTGTAATCCCAGCTACTCAGGCTGAGGCAGGAGGATCACAAATTTGAGACCAGCCTGGGCATCTTAGCAACACCTATCTCAAAATAAAATTTTAAAAAGAGTGGGATGTAATTCGGGGGTAGAGCACTTGCCAAGCTTACACCAGGTCCTGGGTTCAACCCCCATTACCACACAGACACAAAAGAAGTGTGTATGGCACAAAAACTTAACATTGACTTCTATACATTCACCTTTTTCTGTGAAATAAAGAAAGGACATTATTCTTCAGTTCTGCAGATAGCTTATTCTGGTAAAACAGTAGCATTCAGAAGGGATATGGTTTGAGAACCACTAGCCTATAACTTCTACACTATTAGTGTGTACAGTGCCCTATGTATGGGAGAGACAGGCCTCTGCCTTCATTTAACAAGCATTCATAGGTCACCTAATCTGTGCAAAGGAATAATCTGCCTTTAAGAGCTTGAGAGTGATATGCACAGTTACAGGAGCCTAAAAAAGTCATCTCACATACCTGGCTGGTTCCAGTCAAATTTTTAAAATATATTTGGGGGCTGGGGTTATGGCTCAGTGGTAGAGCACCCGCCTAGCATGTGTGAGGCACTGGGTTCAATCCTCAGCACCACATAAAAATAAATCAATAAAATAAAATATATTTGGGGTGAGGAGAGGCTGAGGATCTAGCTCAGTGGTAGAGGGCTTGTCTAGTTTATGTGAGGCACTGGGTTCAATCCCCAACACTGCAATGAATAAATAAATGAAATTTACACAAAACTTATCTTTGAGAGAATAATATTATGTGTAATATTTTTTGCTTATATTTATATTTTCTAAAATGAACATAAATTCATACATACACACCACTTTTTAACATTTTAATTTTTTTTTTTTTTTTGTGTGTGTGTGTGTGTGTGTGTGTGTGTGGCGCTGGGGATTGAACCCAGGGCCTTCTACACGTGAGGCAAGCACTCTACCAACTATCCCCAGCCTGATTTAAATTGTTTTTTAAAGCTCTTTTTTTTTAATATTTATTTTTTAGTTGTAGTTGGACACAATACCTTTATTTTTATGTGGTGCTGAGGATCAAACCCAGGGCCTCACACGTGCTAGGTGAGCACTCTACTGCTGAGCCACAGCCCCAGCCCTTAAAGCTCCTTTTTACTGGTTTTTTCAAGCATGCTAGGCAAGTTCTCAACCACTGAGCTACAAATTCAGCCCCCTTCTTTCATTTAGAGACTTAAGCCTTTCCCCTTCCCATGCTTCTCTAGTTTTACAGTCACCCTTAATCAAGGGTCATGTTTGTTGGAGTTCCTCAAGCCTTAAACTGAACAGCTAATCCTAGGTCTGACTCTCAGTGATGTAGAGCTGAATTAGAAAAATATCAAAACAGGGTTCCTGTAAAGACTTCCATAGTAAGCAAGAGTTCTCTGGGTTACATTAATACTTTCACTTGGTCCAGTTGACATTAATGTGTGGTGCAGTGTGAAGACTGCTGCTTTCTGGGGCATGAAGGTAGGCTGTTGGAATGGACTCTTGTCTTACTTAACTCTGATTCTGTGTTTCTTCTCCTTTTCCTACAACTAGCTTCTGAGAACCAGAACGGGAATGGACTAAGCACCCCACCAGGTCCTGGTGGTGGCCCACACCCCCCTCACACTCCCTCCCACCCACCTAGCACCAGAATCACTCGAAGCCAGCCCAACCACACACCAGCTGGCCCTCCTGGCCCCTCCAGCAATCCCATAAGTAACGGCAAAGAAACACGCAGGAGCAGCAAGAGATAGCAAGACATTCTTCCTTTTCTACTGCCATCAGCATAACCCAGGTGTCTGCTAGAGAACGAGACAGGCTAATAGGTTTCTGGCTTTGTGGTGGGGGCTGGAGTAGCAGCCCTAGCCACTAAGGGGTGGTGAGCTGCGTGGCTTTATTCACCCAAAACTCATAATCCCTCTTGTCCATCTGAGCTGCCTGTCCCCTGTGATCCAGGACCCTCTACCTGCCCTCTTTCCTCTTTAGAAACTATAGTTACATAGTTTGTTTCCTGTGTAATGTGGGGGTCTAATTGAAATCCTCCTTCCTAATAAATGTTTCCACTCTTTATTGGACTTCTTTGCTTTTGGGGGGAGAAGGAAAAAGACAGCAGTCAGCTAACCTAGGTGGTGGAGGGGAGATAAGTTATAGGCAAGGAGGCCTAGGCAAAGCAAGCCTGCCCCTTTAAGGTAGTGTCCCTCCCCTGCCCCGTTCCTGCAGGTGACCCTTGCCCGCCTGCCTCCCAGAAGAAGGCTGGGTCCCCTTCCTTTGGGCGTCTTTCCTGTTTCCTGCTGCCAGGTAATGTTAACCTCGACCCTCTGGACAAATCTCCCTAATCAGACTTTACTCCTCCATCTTAAATCAGGTCAGACATCAGAGGGGAGCCCACTACTTGTTTCCTTTCCCCAGCTGAGCTTCCCCTTCTTCCGTCGTCATTCCCAGAGTGTTGGCTCTTAGGATTCCTGGGGTGAGGAGTTGCTGAGAACAGTTTCTTCCCCACACAAGCATTTGGGGTGACCACTTATCTGTCCTTTCCCCTCCTCCCCAACTTAGGGACACCTGGGTCAAATCTTCCCAGGGAACATGGGGATAGAGGTTGGAGACAGGAGAAGCTCAGTACCAGATATAAGGTGGGTGGGATAGGAGTATATACAGGAAAAGGCTCAAGTGCTATTAACTAACTGGGTTAGGGGTAGAGGAGAAAAAACAGCACAAGTTCCTAACCATGTGGCTGTCTTGGGGCATAAAGTGGCTTGTCCCCACCTCTGGGCCCAGCAGACTGATCTTTGACCCCCACCCCAGATAAGAGTGAATCATTAACTCCTATGTGAACCTTCCTATACTGGCCACGCCCCAAAGCAGGTGGGCTAGGAGGGGGAGCCTATCCATCACGGCCCTCTATATGACGTGGACTCCATTGCACCTTGGCACCTGGAGGCTGAGCCCAGGACTCCATTGCACCCGGGCACCTGGAGTTTCCCCCTCTCTGGCTTGGGAACTTCTTAATGTCCACAGCAAGGCCTGCAGGGAACTGAGGTGAAAGTTTTCACATTGCCAGTAAGGGTGAGGCCCTGGGAATTTAGGGGGCATAGAGAGGTAGAACAAGGTTAGGGGTGGGTTATGGGAGACCAGGGAAGAATGCAGGTGTGGAGAGAGGGCTGGATCAGGAAGGTGCTCTAGAAACTGGCAAACAAGAGACTGTTCCAGGAGACTATTGAAAGGGTAGAAGAAGGCCTGAGTGGGGGCTGCTGCTAGATTCAAGTGGGGGACAAGTGGAAGTACTGATGGTCCTCCCCTAGCATGGGACCCGAGAGCAGAGAAGCAGCCTTGATCCCTTCCTTCTTGTTCTTTTAGGGCACAATCCTAAGGATGTTCCAGATGGAATAGAAGCCAGAATCAGAGCTCTAATTCCTTTCAATGATGGGGGCCCCAGTGTGTTTTCTGCTGGCTGGCCTATGTGTAGGGTTGATCTTAGGCTGGGTAGGGGGTTCAGTCCCCAACCTGGGCCCTGCTGAGCAGGAGCAGAATCACTACCTGGCCCAGCTGTTTGGCCAGTACGGAGAGAATGGGACGCTGACAGCAGGGGGCCTGGCCCGGCTTCTTCATAGCCTGGGGCTGGGCCGAGTTCAGGGGCTCCGCCTGGGACATCATGGGCTTCCAACTGGTCCAGCTGCACTCCCAGCTGAAGACAATTTCACACACAGGTACTAACCCCTCTGTCCACCCCAAAATGCTACATCTCAGCTCTTCTCAGTGCTTAGATCAATCTCCAGTTGCCTAGTGCTGGCTTCCTTGAATGGATCCCTGGAATTACAAATTATTTGGAACCCAACTCCTTAGTATTCTCATTGCGTTCTTGCCTCTTCCAAATCCCTATGCCCTCAAATTCCTTATTCTTAGACCCACTACTCAATGTCTTCAGATTTATTTTGCTCCCAATTTATAGCATTTCTGGCTTTTCCCCTCCCCAGCAGCTCTCATTCTTGAGCCTCCCTATAAAGTGAGAGTGCCCAGATTTCCTCAGGACTGATATGCATTAGGTTTCTGAGTCCCAGGAACTCCAGCCAGTGGCTGGCCTTCCCTTCCCCTAAGGACCCTGAGAAACTCTCAAGGCAGAGAATCTGATTTGCTGTCCCATCCATTCCAGGCCACAGGACCCTGAGCTGAGCATGGATGTCTGGGCAGAGATGCCACTGGGTCCCTCAGGGTGGAGTGACTTAGAAGAGTCCAAAGCCCCCCACCTACCCCGTGGGCCAGCCCCCTCGGGCCTGGGCCTCTTTCACAGGCTTCTACTACTGGATCATTCATTGGCCGATCATCTGAATGAGGATGTGAGTTTGATGGTTTCTAGAGATGGGTAAGGAACCACAGGATTAGGTAGCCTGAAATGTTTAGGGTCAGTAATTTAATAGTTATTTAAAAAAATAAAAATCTCTTGGGCTGGGAATGTGGCTCAGGCGGTAGCGCGCTCGCCTGGCATGCGTGCGGCCCGGGTTCGATCCCCAGCACCACATACCAACAAAGATGTTGTGTCCGCCGAGAACTGAAATAAATATTAAAAAAAAAAAAAATCTCTGGAGGCTTGGAGTACAGCATAGTGGTAGAGCCCTTGCCTAATGCACACAAGACCCTTTTCTTTCAAAAAGAAAAGAGACAGAGAGAAAATCCTAATGTGGTAATGTGGTTTTAGGATATGTTATCCAGTAGTAGAAGTTATTCTGTCTGTGCTCAGACAGGTGAGCACACACCCAGAACTCTAAGACCCAGTTTAGGGGCCACATTTAGCAAAGTAGAGAATCTAGAGAAGCAGCTCAGTGCAGGATCTGGGTATGGTTATCTAGAGAGGAGTCTTGCAGGGAGTGGATGGCTGTCTCTATCTAGAGAGACAAAAAACTTACTCCACTGTTCCATATACCCCAAAAGGCAGATGAAGTTACCTAACCTTGACACAGGCCCAATAAGAGCCCCATTACAGGAAGCATTCAAGCCCAGGCTGAATGAACATGTGAATATGTGACAGGGTCTTTGAGAGGGAAGTTAGATGGCATTTCAGATTTTTTTTTCCTCTCTCTTATTTTTTGGTACTGGGGACCTAACTCAGCGGTGCTTTACCATTTCACTATGTCCCTAGTCCTTTTTTATTTTGATGGGATCTCACTAAGTTGCTGAGGTGAGGTTGGTCAAGACAAACTTTTGATTCTCCTGACTAAGCCTCCCAAATAGCTGGGATTATAGCCATGTGCCACAAACACCTACTTTCACATTTCAGATTCTTTTCCCTTCTAGGATTCTGGCACGGAGGGCTCTAGTTGTCCAATCAGGTCCATCACCAAACCAATAATTACCAGAGCTTGCTGGACATGGTGGCACACACCCGTAATCTCAGCAACTCAGGAGGCTGAGGCAGGAGGATTGCAAATTCAAGTCCAGCCTCAGCAGCTTAGTAAGGCCCTAAGCAACATAGTGAGACCCTGTCTCAAAACAAAAAATTAAGCCAGGCACAGAGGTGTACACCTGTAATCCCACTATCTCAACGAGAGGCTGAAGCAGGAGGATCACGAGTTCAAAATCAGCCTCAGCAACATAGCGAAATCCTATATATAAATAAAATATAAAAAGGGCTGGAGATGTGGCTCAGTGGTTGAGTACCCCTGGGTTAAATCTCCAGTACCTAAATAAATAAATAAATAAATAATGAAAAGGCTTGGGAATGTGGCTCAGCTGTTAAGTGTCCCTAGGTTCAATTCCTGGTACCAAAAAAAAAAAAAAAAGAAAAAAAGAAAAGGGTTGGGAATGTGGCTCAGCTGTTAAGTGTCCCTAG